TCTGAAAGGATGCTAAGCATCTCACAATATCTGATAGATTGTAATGGTTTATTACCTGTCTGACATACTTCAGCAGAAGCGGTTGTCAATAGCCAACATCATCAATGTTAGGAACTCAGTGGTAAAAGAGACAAAGCAATCTTTACAGTTCCAGGAATAATCATTGCTGTGACTCTTCAGGAGGAGGGTAGTGCAGTGCTGGGGCATGCCATCCAAAGAGTCCATGGGACCTGCATCTTGGCAGTTGTCCAGATTGTACTAGACAAAGTCCTAGCTGACCCTGTCTAGTGTTGCCAGTAGATGACCTCCAGAGACCTTTTCCAACCAGAAATTCTGTGATTCTGAGTTATTAAGGAATCAGTGGGACTGCTTGCTCCACATTTTGGTGATAATCAGATAAATATGTTGATACAAACGCAAAATGGTAGCATCTTTTACTGCTCTCGTTCTTTCCTGAGTGCAGACTGGCTCACGTGCGCAAGCAGGCCTGGTTCCTTCTGACACTTCTCTCTGCAGTTTGGTGGCAGTAACGCACTGAAGTGAAGGCACTAAATATTAAATTTGTAGAACTACTTCACTTGCGTTTAGAATTCTTACCAGGCTGTAAGAATTGTGTATCTCAAAGTTCATGGGATAGGATAACAGTTAGCTACAGGTGTAGGTAGAAAGACTGGTGGGCGTTATAGACACGCCCATATATAAAGGCATTAGAGCTAATGGATTTTGCGACATCCATCCAGTTTTCACAGCAAAACCATAACCACTGTTACAGCACAGTGAAGTCTACAGGAATGAAAGGAGCCCTTTAACAATCTGGCAACACCTTGTATCTTTTCCTTAACAGAGTCATGTCTGGGCTGTAACCATACATGATAGCCACATTTACTCATATATATGTACAAGCCAAAATTTTTGACAAGTAGTTTAAATTTAGTGTTAAGGCTGTGTGCTAGTATTTCATGATCTTCCATGATGTCAAGTTCAGAAAACCTTGAACCTTTTGACATATAAAAGTTAAATGTTAAGACATATGCTAACTCAGCCATAATGCTGTTGCCCCAAAATTGTTAATAACCATGGGAGGTTCTCTCTGCTGCCGGTGTTTTTTGTTGAGTGGTGGAAGGGAGCAAATCAACAGAGTTATGATGAAGGATTTAATGACTTTTTCCCATAAGAAGGAGAAGAGGAGGCTTCTAGTGCCTTAGTTTATCTGTGACCTGGAGCATATGGAGAAAAGCAAACCCATCTTAAATACAGTGGCTAGTAGGATGCATGTGTGAGTAGCAAAGCAGGAGGGCCTTTTACTCCCAGGGTTTTAAGCAGTGAGGTGAAGAATGACAGTGGTACGGAAGTTTTTGGTAAGGTAGAATCTCAGATTAAATCTTGTACATAATGACAGTACAATTATGAAATTAGAGAGGTGTGGCTTTATCTTAATGGATTATGTGGGGTTTTTTAAAGTACAGTGGGTATTGATAATTGCTATTCACTACAGTGCACCTAAATGTCCTAATTGAACATGGGAAAGGTCATTAGACTCTTGATCTTCAAGGGATTATTGTGCCCTTTCCACACAGAATTCCACACTGTTCAGAAGCGTGCGTGGTTGTGGTGTTGGTGCACTGGGTTCTCTGGGGCAGAGGTGATGGAGGAAAGTACTTTAATTGTCTATTTCTTCTAAGTTTTGCTGAGGTCTGTTTGTGAAAGGTCACAAGATCTTTCTAACTGATACACTACATCAGTAAATGGAAACCTTAATTTAGATAGTTTTTTCCATAATGCTTACATCTTCTTGGAATGTAATAGATGTTAACAAAAGCAAAACAAGTTAAAAAAAAAAAAAGCTGGATTTTCTTGCTAAGGACAGCAATGTCCTCATTCTTGTGTAGGTGTAATTAAGAGTAAATAATTTTTATGCAGCATTTTCATTAGTTTTCCAAATGATTGTCAAAGACCTGTGGTTCTCATACATGTTGAATCAGGTTTTGAGGCAAGTCAAAGTAGACAAGATGTTGATTTAAAAAAAGAGAAGGAAAAACAGGTTTCAAAGAACAACAAGCAATGCAGATTTTTCTGATATGCCATAAAAGGGGATAAATTCTTGCCCATGTCTCTCTCTAAACTCTTCACTATGGCTTTTTGGCTTTTTTTTTTTTAATGTTTATTTGTACGACTATGGCCTTTTACAACTTCCTAACTGAAGACAGCATTTTGATTTGAACTCTGAAATGACTTCACATTGTTACCACAGTTGGTCAGTTCAGCTTATTACTTCATCAATCCTAACTTCATAAAATTAGGAGTGATAACATCACTTTACATTTGTCTTTCCCATTAGTTGGTTTTTTTTGAGCATGTTGAGGTCAACTCTTGCAGTTTAAAAAAATAAGTGTGTTGTGCTTTTAATGAAGACAAGCACAGCAGACAGGGAGTGATAATTGTAATTCCCTGTGTTCTTACTGGCTCAACGAATTTTAGTGATTTATAAAGAATTTTCTCTGTATATTTTGAGTATTTTTCATTCTCATTGGAAGGGCCTTTTTTTCTGGGTGTATTACAGCTTGAATTGTGCTTTCTTATTTTACTTGCTACTTTGTTTCTGTCTCTTTGACAGTCCGTAGCTTTGTTTAGCATGCTTTTATTCAACCTTGTTCCTTTCAAGGGTATGGAAGATAGTGTTACAAATCTGGATGATGATGTCTTTGGAGCAGTCTACAGCATTCTGCTGTTTTTGTGGGCTTCATCTTCATTTGCAATTCATGTTTCTAAGCTGTGTGTTGTCTTTTTTTTTTTTTTTTTCCAGAAAGTATTTGGTGTGCCATTCTGTTCCCTCTGCGGTTTTCTTGTTCATACTTTATCCTTTGAGGATGTCTTGGACATGGTATTAGTGGCATAATTTCTCTCTTTTTCCTCAGAGACAACATATATATCTTAGTTAAGTACATTTAGAAGTGCATTATCTAGTTTGCATGAAAGTTGTACTTTGATTTGCATGCATGCATATGTGAGATACAGTATTTGCATTACAGTTTCTTCATTATTTATCTGTGGCTTCCTAGGGATAGACAGTGTAGAAAATTTGTATTCTGTCTCTAAATAAGTTTACAAAACCTGTGCACATTTTTGCCAGCCACTTACAGATTTTTCTGTGAGTGTGAAAGAGCACTGGTAATGGTGTTTTGGGGCAGGTTTGCTCGGATGGGGCATTAAAAACTGTGGCATCACAACATCTGCCTATAAGAGAGGGACTGATAGGATGTCTGAAATGGTACTGGGTTTTAATTTTAGAAGCCTTTTTTTTTTAATGCTGCATCACAGGTACCATAATTTTCTTGAGTCAAAAAAGAAATTAGAGCAGTGGTTCATGGGTAAAAGAAACACAACAAAAGATGTCTTATAATTCTGGTTGTCACTGAAGAGAATATTACCCTCACACAACGCTGGAGTGACACTTTTGTGTGGGTACTTTTCCTTCTTTAAAAGAAGGTGAAAAAGGAAACTACTGTGGCTTTCAGTTTTTATTTTACTATTCTTAGTTACATTACAAGGAGATTCATCTTATTTAGCATATTACTCTGTAATCATCCATAACTTTTCTCATGTTGCAGTCATTCTTTAACAAACTAGTAGATGAAAAAAACCATGAAAACTTGAAAATGTGATACATATTTCTGCTCAACCACCACTTCTTTCCTCATATGCAAGTCTGGTTTCCAAATAGAAATCCAGGGTCAGTCTGGAGAAAAAGGCTTTGTTTATGGTGTGTTGTTATTTAATTTGTATTTAGTTCTATTTCTTCACTTCTACTTTGTTCTTCTGTTTCATCTTTTGCATGAGATGTGCAGAAATGGGTTTTTCATTATGTATTGAGCATGCATGCTTGGGAAAGTTTGATGTGTCCTTAGATATTTTCCAGCTTTTAAAACATAGTGGGTTTCAAATGACATTATGATGTTTGATATCAAGGTATAGTGTAAACTAATGATATTATGAAGAATAAGGCTTGCGGTTCCTTTGCATTACCTAGTTGCTAAATTGAGAAATCTAAGTGTGTGCATTGGTTCGAATATAATCAATAGCAATGTGAATGCTAGTGTATGTTTTTCTTGAGTTCTATAAAAGCAGAAGTGTTGCCATTGCTAGTCATAGAGGGAATGACTTTTGTCACTTTCTAGATTTAAAATCAAGTGTACAGAATTCCTACCATCTTTTCATTGCCTTATCCTATAAATGGTGTAATTTTTCCTAATGATTGCATCTTTCAGCAATATGTAGATCTTAATTTAATTATCTCCTGAATGACTTTTGCAGATAAGACCAAAATATTTACCAAAGGAGTTTTTGAAAATTCATATCTGAAGTAACAAAGAATTGTAATTATTAGGATTTCCTTTGGTGGCAGCAATTTGATAGATAGGT